TGAGCTAGGTCAACGTTGGGTTTTCGACGATGTGTTGTGACGAACCAATTTCGTCTTTTTACGCCGCCTCTTTTCGGATGGTTGGGTTCAGGGCTGGGCAAGTCTCGGGATGGTCAATCGAGTGGCTGGCGCGCTGACAAAGGCGCGGTTAATAATGTTTGACATCGCTTCTTTCTTGTTCTGTTGTCGGATTCTTGGCGCGGTGATTGCGCGGGAAGTTTTGCTTCTTTTTTAATTTCCTTTTTCGAATCTTGTCGAGCCCTTGATGACTCTCAGAATTTCGGATTTTCTTTTCGGGATTTGTGCTCTAATAAAGTTCTTTTTGCATTTTTGCAGAAATAGGAATTTAGGAATTTAGGAATTTGGGACTTCCTTTTTGTCGCGCGGTGCTTTTTGCTCACGTGCTTCTTTTTGCGGCTGCGACGGAACTCTGATTAGTCGGCGCCCTTAATCTTGCATGTAACTGTAATTTTGGACAGGGCGCCCTTGTAACTGTATCTTTCTTCTTGAGCTTTGTCTCTCCCGCCCCTCTCTTCTTCCTCCGTCTAGCCGGCCCGCAGGCTGCATGATCGGATCGATGCGTGGAGAGTGGCTACGTCCCCCACGCCTCGATCTGGCCATGCAGAACGTAGGCACACCCCCCCCTTGTCCCCTTCTAAGTCCTTGCAATTTCGCGTTCTTCGCGCATGCATGCACACTATAAATTTCGGCTGCGCGATTAGATAACTCTCTTAAACCATTGCTGGAAGCTCCGAGTAGCGCGATCAGTGAGGGTCGGCTCACGAGCGAAGTAAGAGGTGAGTTGAAGTGGGAGTTGGGCGACCCGACGAGCTGGTGTCGAATGTGCGGGATTGACGCGTGGGGCTACGACGGACTGTAGCGCGCGGGCAAATCCAACGGGCACAGGAGGACTAAGCGGGGTGACGACTTCGTGGGTTGGTGCGTGACGATGGACTGTCCGCATCGGAGAAAGAAAGAGAGAGAGATAGTTGAGGTTGATGGACGTAGAGTTACGATTTTCCTTGTTTTTTCCTTTGTTTTTGTAAATAAGTTTTGATTGCGGCTCGTGCAATTCGCCCTTATTTTCTTTCGGCATCTTTGTCTCGATGTTGTTCCTCGTATGGTGTCTCATTCAGTCTCGATCCTTCCTCTCTTGTGTGTGTGTGCGTTGGGCAACCGAGTTCTGATGGAATGATATGCTCGCCGTATATATATATTTCATCATTGTTGCTGGTCATTTTGATTTGATTGATGACATATTGTTGCGGTGTTTGATGTGTGCGATGTCACTTTGCACGATCAGAAATGATTGTTTGCGGGGTTACAGAATTATTGTTGAGAGATCATCTGCGGCATGTGGGGATAGGATTGAACTCTCACTTTTGCACAAGAATCAGCCAACAGGCCTGTGTACGACCAAACACCTTGTGGGCGCAAGCGCGATCTGATCAGCGCGGCCTACACGTGTCCCCACGCGGGTGATTCGCGGCCACTAGCGAACTCGACACTTCCAGTATCGTAATAAGTGTGACCTTTCCTTTTCTTTGAGGATTTGGGTCAATAGGAATTTTTGCTACCATACCCGAAAATTTATGTGTCGAACGAAGCACGATCAGATACGTGCGCCGGAATGACAAGATGTCGTACATCGCGGATCGAGAGTACTTAGAGCACTGGGATGAAGAATATCTTAGGCAGAGATATCCGGAATTTCCCTGTCTAACCGGGAACCAACTGTGCGCCAGGGACTTTCACCGTGCCGTAACCAGCGACCCAAGGTGCCCCGACTACCCAACTACGTATAACACGCAATACTTCATATCCCCCGGCTTCGTCGTTATCGCCACCAATTTCCCTCCCTTCCACATCCTCCTCCCATACCACCAGCTCACGGTGGTTCCGTGAAACTCTATAGCCCCGTATTGGCCCCACATGCCGTGCAGAAATTGCAGACGACGCGGCAACCGCCGAGCCTCTGGAATTACGGAACCAAACCATAACACGCGACGACAGTCGCCACGCGTCCACACCCGAAGATCCAACTCCTAGAGATCGCAACCTTTAGGAACGGGCCTCTCCCGAACCGCCGCCACTAAGCAGATGGATCGGATGACCCAGGATGCACCGCTCATGCCATCTGCCTTATGCTGCACGACATCGACCGCAATCGGACCGAAAGTAACCCGTCCCTTAGCCTTATTGCACCTATGCCCCTGAACACTCGCCACATGAGATCTCAATTCTGACCTGGGACTCCACCCCCACTTTTCCAAAAATCCTTGGCACACCCCTTTTCGCACTTCCAGGCCCACATCCCACTCCGATCAGGAAGTCGTGTCGGGCGTGAGGTTGGGCGTCACAGTGTGACTGTAGGCGACGAAGGAGATGCACGCCCTCACGATCATTCACCGGTCCACTTTTTTTTAAATTGTGAATACATTTTATCGCTGTTTTTATTCCGACAAAATACATCCAAAAATGACATTTTCTCGAATCCCCCCCCCCCCTCCCCCCCTTGACATAGTGGTGTCATGATTCAATGATGTAACAATTTGCAAAGATGTATGTATGGGACGCTGGACCCGGTTTCCAGCAGGTGACGCTCCCCACCAATAGATGGAGCGGCCTGCCTGGCAAAGCCTCTATCCCGGTGGTTCTCTTACCACCACTAGGATAGAGGTCTTGCATAAGGGGCCTTAAAAAAAAAAAAAACCGCCCCCTACCCTTGCCACTTTCCGTTGAGCTAGCTGTTTCCTTTTTTCGAGATAGCCAGTTCAACGACCGTTGGCGTCCTTTTGGAGATTTTTATTTATTTTTTATGTTATTTTATTACGTTTTGAGAAATTTGTGAAGTCGTGTGTACTTTGCTATTTTTTTAAGGGCCGAATACGCGTGAACTACGGGGAATATGGCAACTCTGCATAGGATCGGAGTACGTTTTGAGAAATTTGTGAAGTCCCGTGTACTTCGCTATTTTTTGAAGGGCCGAATACGCGTGAACTACGCGCAATAGGGCAACTCTTCATAGGATCGGAGCGACCCTTCGGAGGATGGGAGCTGCTCAAATTTGTTGTTGTTGTGCGCTTCTGTATCTGTCACCGTTATTGGGCAGATTCATGGAGAGGCGTCCTCTGAATCCATCCACATTCACACAGATTCATGGGCCTGCTCTCTCTCTCTCTCTCTCTCTCTCTCTCTCTCTCTCTCCCTCCCTCTCAGCATCGTAGCAGGTTCACACAGCCAGTATCCGTTACGAAAGTGCAGATCGATATGTCCTTAGTTTCTTTGCTCGTCATAGTCTTCGGAGTCTTCGCTGTCTCCAGTCAGACCGCGGTACAACACACACACACACACACTAGTTCTCAGATCTCACAGTTTTGAGCGGTGAAGGCCGACCGTGCGCGTCTGATGGAAGCAAGTTTCCATTGTGTGTTGTGGACGTCATGTATTCTAGTCCAGTTGTGGAAAGAAAAAGAATGAATTGTATCTTAGGCAGATTTTTTAACGCATTTTTGAATTTTAAATGATTTAAAAAAAAACAGTTTCAACCGTCACACCGTTGAGCTAGGTCCACTAAACAGTGCATGTGAGACAAGGTCCTTGGGGGCGGGTAAGGTAGTTTTCTTAACTTAAAATGGTTTCCCGCCCAAATCGAAAGGCCGAAAGCATATGACACAAAACGGATTTCACATCAAATAAAAAATCTACAAAATGACCAAATCTAATAGGTTATTCTCCTATATTTCCACACCAGGAAATACGCAGGAAATACGAGAAAAACGGGGTAATACTGTAAATTAAATACGTGGGGCAGTCGTAAAACAAAATTTTGAGAGGACTGAGTAATTCCTAGTCAGTTTTAGAAAGTACGTACGGTTGTGAACTCCAACTTTTGAAAAATCTGGCGCATTGTAGCAGTACCGGTGCCCGCGGGTTTTCAAAGTTCGGTGGGAATTTGAGATACGTGGCGGAGTAGAGGAGTAATGAGACCGTGGCAGTGCTGGATATTAGATACGTGGAAAATGTAAAATAGCCTGGGTGTGCTGCATATTAGTCCGAGGATTACGCCCGGTAGGACCCACAAATAGCGGCTGTATAATAGTTAGTAAGGGTTAGGATAATTTCTAGTCCGTTACAGATACGCACGATAGGCGGGCGCCAGCAATCGGAAAACGGGCACGTTGTGGCGGTATCGGTGTTCCCGTGTTTCAAGAATCCGGAGGGAAACTGAGGTACGTGTAGGGCAGAGTGGAGATAGGTGGTGTAATGAATTTCGGGCGGGAATAGGAAGTGTAGGCTACAAATTTGAATGACCAGGTACCTACGGATCAGAGCGAATACGTGGACTACCTGGGAAGAGCACGACAGTCCTGTACACACGTAGTACACACGTATGAGAAATTGAGCTGGCTGCGGAGGGCCGCACGCGGATCCGATGCGGGATGGTTTAACCAATCAGGACTTCGAAGAAAATATGGCGAGTGTGTGCAAGGGAAGGCTGTAGGTATTAATTGAGGGCAAGGCCAGAACGACCCTTATACGCTCGTGGGTGGTAAGTGTAGGTGGGCCGCAAGGCGCTGGGTTTGTGGCATCATGATGCCTCCTGATGAGACCGGAGCGCACCCAGTTGAAACATAGAGGAATGCGTGCGCGTTTTCCGAGCATGTGTACACGATGATGCATCTTTGAAATATACCGATTTGCGTGTAAAAGGCAATTGGCCATTGCTTGTCTTCTATCTTCATGGAAGCGTAGCAACCGAGTGAGAGGCGACACTTACGTTGGTGGCTACGTCGGCATTGGGAGGTTAGACATAGGTAGTGGTGCTGTTAAGCGTGACCGGAAATAGTTGAGTCTGTGTGGTTGAAGACGCTATAAGAAGAGGGGTGGCAGATATTAACGATAACGAACCAAGTCCAGAAGGTAGGTGCGATGTCGACATCGAACAGGGGAGATGGAACGGGGAGCAATATTGGCAATAGGGGCTGTTTCAACTGTGGACAAACTGGCCACTTTGCTAGGGACTGCCCCGCTGGAGGTAGCTGAGGCACTCCCCAACAGCAGCAGCATCAGGGCTCGTTTGCTAATAACGCCAGGTACTGGCAGAATAGGTGTGAGCTTGAAGATGACGTGAAGACTATGAAGGAATGGATGCAGATGAAGCTGAGGAAGGAACAAGAGAAAATGGAAAAGAAGCGGGAAGAAGAAGAAAAGGTGAGAAGAGAAGAGGAGCAGAGGAGGCTCTGGCAGGAGCAAGAACGCAGGCAGACAGAGCTGAGAAGACTCAACGAGGAGACTGAGCTACGAATCATCTCTACCGTAGCAAGGGAAATGCATCACTTCATAGCAGAAATCCGTAATGACATACAGACGGCGCTAGGAGCCAGATCGAGGATCCCCAAAGAAAAGGGGAAAGGAAAGGCGAAGACATTGGATGACCATGCTGCAGATGAGCTTCTGAAGTACCTGCAAGGAGAGATTGCCGAGAGCTTCAGAGAGGGAGCGGAGCGTGGGATGTGGTTTTTCACCCGAAAAAATAGAGAGCAGAGAACAACGAGAAGGATGGGGTCACCGAAAGAGACAGATGATGGGGGAGAGGTAACGCCGAGACCAGATAAGCAAAGTGCGAGCGCAAAGGGACAAGGAGTGGACAAGAAAGTTCCGACAACCTGCAGTAGGGAAGGAGTGATAAAATATGTGCTCAACGTTAGAAAAAAAATACTCGGAGATGACAGCGCAGGAGATCAAGAAGCTCTGCATGAAGGAGGGACTGAAATAAATCAACAAAAAGCAAGGAGTCAGGGAGCTGGTACATGCGAGGACAAGGCTGGCATACGAGGGATGGCTAAATGAGGAAAAGCCGACGGACAACGCTGGGGATGGCGCAGACCTGAATGAGATCAACGAGGAGGAGTATTACTCCGATTGATGGTGTTTGCCCTCAGATGCGGAAGTGTGGGACAACATGGCAAGATTGTTGCGGTTGAGAGGTGAGATCTGAGGGCTTACAAGCTGCGCAAAATTCCGACTCTCGATCGAGAAAGCATTGGCAACCTGTCTGGTGTACCTAACTAAGCGGGGTAAGATCCCGTGGGCAGGTAAGGTGCTGGACTTAGCACCCCAAAACCATGATTTTTTCCTTTTTAAGCAGCCAGTAGTGTATTGTCTGTTGTCGCCCTGGTGTAAGAAGATTTACGTTGGGCAAGCAGTGAGGGGGGCAGCAGAGAGATGGTGGGAGCATATCAGATGTGCGATCAACGGTGACAAAGGGAGGTCACCGAACTTATATAACTGGTTGCACCGTTTCGGATGGGAGAAGTACATCATTCTCCCTATTGCGACGACGCAGACCACTGGGTTTAAAGTGCTTGAGACCACGGTTATCAAGCGTCCGTCCCCCGCACTGAATAAGGTAGGTGTAAAAAATAAAGGGAAAAAGAGAAGCAGGCTGGGGAAAAGAGAGAGGGAGAGACAACGAACTGGGAAGAACTCGGAGGAGCGGAGGTCTTTCGAAAGAAAGTCCCTCATCACTTTCAGCCTGCAAGGTGAAAGGGAGGCGAACACAAGCCTCAGGAAAATCATAGAATGCGCAAGTAAACTGGGTAGGACAGCCTGCATAGTGAATAGTGGTGGTCGGATTTGGGGAGAGAACTGGGCAACGACAAAAAGGGTGTATGGCGCAATCTCGGTTGTGCACAACGACAAAACGGTAGCCTTAGCGCAAGCTAAATGCCTGATTGAGGAGGGGGGGAGTTTCTGGCTTAAGGTTATTTCCAGGACAGAGAGTGCCCGTGATAGATGTAAGCATTAACTTAGACTCTTACTGGAAGTACCATATAAGCGTAAGGAACTGTGGGCGATGGAGGCGGGTAAGCTAATGCAACTATACTCTAGCGCAGGTGCTTTCTCGGTAAAGGAGACGAGGAGGAAAATCAAGGATATGATTGGTAGGGTGATCAGCCAGAAGGAGGGGGTGAACATAAGAAGGAAGACAACAGTGTCTCTCAGATATGACAACGAGATAAGGAAAAGGGAAGTAAGAGCAGTCATGGAGAGACAGATCCGCGAAACAAGGCTGCACCAAGCCATTAAAGGTACACTGGTAAGGAGAGCGCGGCTGGTTTGGAGCCACAACAGATCGGTGGCGAGCATACTCTGTAACCACATGGTAGCAACAAAGACGGGTGTTGGAGAGTGTACGTGTGCCGAATTCGACTTGGATAGAGTTGATGGACACATGCATACCAGAATCACTGAAGTCCAAGGCATCAACCAACAAATTTGCAACGGGAAGAACATCACCAAGCCGGCGAGAAAGACAGGGAAGACCGAGCTCAGGGCGAGAGTCTTCGCATCACTAAAGTTAACGCTGGTGCAAGTTTGAAAATCGAAGAACAAGAGCTTCAAGTGGAAGATTGCTTCGCTAAAAGAGTGGGCAATGGATGGGCAGTCGAGAAAGAGGAGGTGAAGCAACTAAGATGGAAATTCCGACAGTTGGTCATTACTCAAGTGGACAAAAATCGTGGGGAATTAGTACTGATGTGCCCATCGACATATCAGCATGCCCTTAAGAAGATGTTCATCTATAACAACGCTTACATACGCACCAGTGGAGAAGAAACCGAAATTTTGGCGGGGATGCGGGCCGATTACAAAGCAGCAGGATTGGAGAAGGTGGCTGCTTGGAACGGGAAAGGCCGAATAGGCAATGCATATGTATTGCCTAAGCATAAGGATCTCAGCAAGTGGAGACCTATTGCGCCCGCCAATACGGAACCAACACGGACAGGTAGCAGAAGATTGGGCAGGGCGCTCAATGCTTTGCTCGCGCGACTTCCTGCTGCTGAGCATTTCAACATAGGTGCGATAACACAACTGAAGGAAAACCTCAGGATGATCGAGGAAAAGCATGGCTGCAAGAAAGAAAGCGCGATGATGGTGCTGCGCAGTTATGACATCAAGGAGATGTTTACTTCGCTACCGCATGAGGCAATTGTGGAGGCGGTCGAGTGGTTGCTCAGAGAGTGGGAGAGAAAAGGGAGAACAAAGGTCAGTGTCAGCCGAAGAGCCAGGGAAGTAGTCTTCAACTACAAGTGCTTGGGAAGTAGCTACGTACAGATTACATTCAAGGTTGTCAGGAAGTTTGTGAGGTTCGAGCTGACGCATACATATACATCGTGTACTGACTCAAACAGATTGTAGGCATCCCGATGGGGAAAAACTTTAGCCCGCCGCTGGCATGCATCCTCTGCGCAAAATACGAAACGAAGTTCATCAGATCATTGGGGAAGGATCGTGCGCTGTTTCACGGAATCAGGTTCATGGATGATGTGGCGACAACGGTACTCATGGACAGACGAAGGGAGGAATCATTCCACCAGGCAGAGGAGATCATGAAGGCTTTCGAAAATTGCTACGGCGAGAAACTCACACTATTGAGAACGGATGTGGGGGACAACACGATTAACTTCATTGGTGCTAAGGTCTCGGTAGAGGCCGACCCAGTCAGATTCATGGTTGCACCCCAGATGAAGAACCAAGATTGGATCACCGACGGAATGATGCCATTCAAAAGTTTTTAGGACTTTGCGTCCTACTCCAACAAGAGGACGAAGTACGGGGCTATCATCGGTATGTTCCACAGAATCCGTCGCACGACCAACTTTGGCTGTGCTGTGGTTGTACCAGTACTGACCGTCAAGCTAGAACTGAGACGCCGGGGTTACACCCCGACTTCCTTCTCATCCTCCCTGGCGAAGTTTGCCAGGGGTACCACCGCTGGTGAGGTGGCATGGAGACTGCTCCTCGACAGCATGGTATAAGGCCGAGGTAATTAGGTAAGGGTAGGATTCTAGCGTACGGGGATAAGACAGTGGGGTGTGGGGGTGGTGGGGAGAGAGAGGAAAATGGGGGGGTGGGGAGGGACGGCCCTGCCGCTGGAGTGTCTTAGAATAATAGAATACTTCATTATTTCTGGTGTGCCGGATGTTTATGGGAATAGCGGCTAGGCCGGGGGCATATGCAGAAAATACGCAGGAAATACGAGAAAAACGGGGAAATACTGTAAATTAAATACGTGGGGCAGACGTAAAACAAATTTTGGGAGGACTGCGTAATTCCTCGTCAGTTTTAGAAAGTACGTACGGTTGTGAACTCCAACGTTTGAAAATCTGGCGCGTTGTAGCAGTACCGGTGCCCGCGAGTTTTCAAAGTTCGGTTAAAATACTAGCCTGGGTGTGCTGCAGATTAGTCCGAGGATTACGCCTGGTAGGACCCGCAGATAGCGGTTGTACAATTGTCAGTAAGGGTAAGGATAATTTCTAGTCCGTTACAAATATGCACGATAGGCGGGCGCCAACGATCGAAAAACGGGCACGTTGTGGCGGTATCGGTGCCCCCGTGTTTCAAAAATCCGGAGGGAAACTAAGGTACGTGTAGGGCAGAGTGGAGACATATGGTGTAACGGATTTCGGACGGGGATAGGAAGTGTAGGCTACGAATTTGAATCACCAGGTACCTACGGATCAGAGCGAATACGTGAACTACATGGGAAGAGCACGGCAGTCCAGCACACGCGTAGTACACATGTATGAGAAATTGAGCTGGCTGCGGAGGGCCGCACGTGGATCCGATGCAGGATGGTTTAGCCAATTAGGACTTCGAAGAAAATGTGGCGAGTGTGTGCAAGGGAAGCCTGTAGGTATTAATTGAGGGCAAGGCTAGAACGGCCCTCATACGCTCGTGGGTGGTAAGTGTAGTTGGGCCGCAAGGCGCTGGGTTTGTGGCATGCCTCCTGATGAGACCAGAGCGCACCCGGTTGAAACGTAAAGGAATGTGTGCGCGTTTTTCGAGCATGTGTACACGCTGATGCGTCTTTGAAATATAATGATTTGCATGTAAAAGGCAATTGGCCATTGCTTGTCTTCTATCTATTTCCACACCACTAGATTCGCAATACATCAATGGTAGAGCTCTGTCCCACGATGCCACACGTGATAGAAAGCTCAGCGTTGAAAAAACTCAACTTGGGCTGTGGGACTTCATTCCCGGGGCTAGGTCCCAGTTACACGAATTAAGCGATATGGACCGTAGATAGCAAAGATCAACGGGCAGATTCTCGTAATCCGTGCAAGTGGGACCTCGCCCCCTGTACAGGTTATATTTCGACTTTTTTTTTTTTTTTTTTTTTCTATACATATAAAGGAAAACGCAGGTCTCGCGTGACGGTTCCGCGCGAGACCTGGTTCCCTGGTGTGGGACTCGTGGTAGGCCCAAGGGCGGACTGCGTGCCGGTTCGGTGAGGCCGGGGGGTCGAGTCGGGTTGCCTGCGGGCGGCCGTTTTTTTTTTTTGGGTTGGTGTTGGCGCGGCGCGGTTTGTTTTCGTGGTTGGTTACGCGGTCGGCCATATTTAACCAGGTAGTGTATATTTCCATGTTCTTGCCGAAAATTTATTGGATGTTGCTCATCCTATCGATGGAAGTAGCATGGCGCGGGCAGCGAGGTCGGAGAGTTATCGTCTCTCTCTCTCTCTCTCTCTCTCTCTCTCTCTCTCACACGCACACACACACACACACACACACACACACACACGAACGAACGATTCATTCCTGTTTTGCTAAAAAAGTGGCAGCCCCGAGGTCGGAGAGTTATCGTCTCTCTCTTTCTCTCTCTCTCTCTCTCTGTCTGTCTCTCTCTCTCTCACACACACACATGAACGATTCATTCCGATTTTGCTCAAAAAGTGGCAGTGTATATTTCCACGTTTCAGCGGAAGATTCGGCCATCGATGGAATGTGTGTGTGTGTGTGTGTGTGTGTGTGTGTGTGTGTGT